ATTTTGATACCGCTGCGCCTTCTTAATCATAAGATAATGCTATTTAAAATTTTGTATTCGGGTGATGCAATACTTTTAAGCGCCACTGTATATGTTCAGTTAATTTGACATGTCTTAAGCATTTTTTCACATTTAACAAAGCACTTGAAACTTTTGGAGTGAAATATATTAAACAAAATATTGGAAGGGTTTTAGGAAATCAAGATGATTTAAAATCAAGAATTTTTTCTATTTAATCTGACGAGGAAGAATTAACTTATTGTTAAGCGAATATGTTGGTGATACACTTCTTGTACAAAATGATTGTAATATGAAATCAAAAAAAGAAGCAATGTGAAAATTAGTAGATGAATTATATGTAGCTTTTATTTATAAAATTCATCTGATTATGAATTATTCAAAGGAATTTCATAAAATAATGAACAGGGGTTTAAAAGACTTTTTGAATGCTATGATATTGGAAAAGAAAGATTATATAACATTTATAAACAAGATATTGAAAAATCAAAAACTAGAATTACAATTGAATGGCAAAAACACAATATAGAAACTGATACTATTGCTCAACAAAAGAAAAAGCAAGAGAAAAAATAAAAGTTAATTTTACTGATTCAATTAAATATTCAAGAAAATGGCAAAAGTTTCAGAAAACTGAGATGGTAAATAAGCAGTGTCATGAAAATATGCAAGAATGTAAAGTCATAAAATTTTTTATATTTGAAAAAGATATTTTTTTTTGAATTTATTAATTTTTACATTAATGTTAAATATTAAATAAAGAATTTTACAAATCTTTTCATTCGTTTTAAATCTTTTTATTGAATTTTAATAAAAACATTTTATTTTTATATAAATTAATTTTAAATGTTTTGAATACTAAAAATAACTTTAGAAAAGAATTCAATATATATATAAAAAAAGGTCTTAAATTCAAAAGTTATTAAATATCTCTAATATAAAGTTAAATTTTATTACTTATAAAAGGCATTTATAAAAAACTATATATAAAAGAATTTTTTGCAAAAGAATTTTTTAAAGTAAATAAAAAGAGAGTTTAAAGAAAACTTTTAATGATATATTATTAGAGATTATTGTTTCATTTTTCTTAATACATATATATATAATATACTATTAATCAGTGTTGGCTAGTGATACCTGCCTAAACTCTTTTTTGAAAAATTGTAGTTTCGTCAAAAATTTCGTTTCTTTAATATTTTTATATGAATAAATATAAAATTATTATATTTTTAATGTATTTTGAATTCAAGGAATTTAGATCAAGTTAAATATAATTTTGGCAATTAAGTAAAATAATTTCGTCATTAATAGAAAACTAGTTTCGTCATTTCAGTTTCGTCAATTTCATTATATTAAAAAGGTAATTTTGTCAGGTATTACTAGTGTTGGCAAATGATTGAGTCATATAAATTTATATGATAAATAATCAAAATTATCGGTCATTTCAAAATGAGCATGATCATTTTGCCGCAGTTACATGAAGTTTACAGTTGGCAAAATGACTAGTCATATTAATATTTTAAATAAATAACAATAAAAATGATTATAAAAAATGACTACATGTGATAAATTTTAAGATTAGATTTACACTTAAATGATTATCTCTGACATGTTGAAAAAGTGTTATATTTTAAATATGCAATGATCTGCTTTTTTTTCACTTTTGCATAATGTTCTTCCAAACGTATAAAGCAAAAATACTGTATTTCTCTTATCCTTCTTACTTTTTGTGTATTTTGTGTGACAAATTATATTTTTGATGAGCCAAAAGCCTCATGTGTATACAAAGTATTTTAAAATATTACTGAAGCTTGCAAATATAAGCAATAAAGCATGCATTTGTTTAGCTTGCTATAATACAAATCCTGATAGACCTCATAAAGAGTTATGAATACTCCAAAACTTTGTAAAAATTATCTTAAAAAATGCCCATACTTTTTAAGTCAATACTCAAAGGAAGAATTAACAGTTATATTTTCAGATGCTAATAACGACAATGATGACCATTCAGAAATAGAAATTTCTGAATCAACTACAAAACATGCCCATATAAAAAAAAGTAAGTACTAATATTTTTTATATATAAGATTGTTTTATTTTATAAATTCTTCTTTTAATTGTTTATTTTTTTATTTAACAGAATTACAAACAAAAGTAATATAATTTATATATTATCTCCTTTCTGAAACTACTCAACAACAATTTGAAAGGATTTGGTACGTGATACTATGACAACTGGTTCTGTTAGTTACCATCATGATGAAAATTAGGTGGTTCAATTCTTAAAAGAAAAAGTACTCAAACAAAAGAACAAATTGAAAATATTGCAAAAGAAGATAAAATTAGTGTTACATTAGCTTTTGATAGTTGGAAAAATATCATTAAACAAAAGCTAATAGGAACAATACTTATTACTTCACAAGAAAAAGCTTTAGTATAGAAGGCTGAAGATATAAGTGCTGAAAGGACTTGTGCAATTGAAATTAATGCATTTACAGAATGATATATTAAAGATCTTTTAGTTAAGCAAATAATTCCTCTTTGTGTGGTTTCTGATTCTGTCAGAAAAAATTTAAAATCAAGGTATACGCTATATAATAGTAATATATTTAGTAATGTATTTAGATATATCAGATTTAAAATAATAAGTTTAAAATAAAATCAGAATTATATAAACTTTATTATTATATCGTTTATTTAATTTTATAATTAATTT